ACACGCACTCAAAAAAAAAATAATCTAAAATAAGATGTGACATTTTACAGGTTTGGCATAAAAAAAGAGAGTGTTATTTTGGTCTTTAGTCGATTTCTATTGTAACAAGCTCGATGTAGCGGTATAGAAGCTGCTTTAGCGCCCAATAAACTCATTCAACTGGCCACTAAAATGGGGAGGGAAAATAAAAGAACATAAAAGAAAATTAAATAACTGAAAAACAACCTATTAATCTTGGTTTCCTCCCACGTTTTCTCTTTTTAACAGCATCAAATTGAAAAATATAACCCTAAAACTACTAATTTGTCACAGTGGTGTTCATATTAGCCTATTAAGGGCTGCGTATCTTTACGGCTGTATAATGAATCCACTATTTTAGTAATCAATGAATCCATAAATGTTCTATGCAAACTTGAAAATATGAAGAGATGTGGTTTGAAGATACAGAAAAAAAAAAATAATAAATATGAATATAAAAACTCATCTGCTGACATATAACGTGGATGCACTCTCTAAATCCTATTTCTACATATGATATAGTTGAAAGAAATTAGTAAAATGTTCCCTATGAATCTGGTATGTATGTATGATATATGTTTATTTCTGTCCTTTTTTTTTTTTCCTTTCATTTCTTTCTATATATTGTGTAAATAATCACAGTACATTAGATAGAACAAACAGAACTGTTTTTAACCTGGGCTGTCAAAGTGGAATCTTGTCTCACATTTTCAGGAAGGGATCTTAAACTGCATAAATCTGAAATGCTGCCTCCCCATGTTTAGTCCTGACTCTTGGCACCAGTAGAACTATAACAACAGATATATATAAGATTAAGAAATCCTTTATTTGTCCCACAGTGGGGAAATGTCAGTGTTGCATCACCAGTTACAGAACAGTAGGAATGAGGAGCACACAGCACAAGATACATGAACAATAAATCTATACTAAATAAAATAAAAATTAAATCTCTAACTCTAGCATCAAAAAAGAACAAAATAAGAAATACATCAAAACATCTAAAAATTATGGTAAAAATTGATATTGCATGATGGAGGCTGCATTTCAGATTCATGCAGCTAAAATGTGGAACAATCTTCCTGAAAATGTGAGACAGGCTTTTCTCTGACAATGTTCAAATCCAGGTTTAAAAAAGTTCTGTTTATCCGCGCATTCAACTGATGGGATTTATGTTTTCAGTTTCATCTTCACGCTTTTTAATGTACTGTAATTATGTATTGCCTTGTTGTTTCCATATTGCTTCGTTCAGCACTTTGAGTGGCCTTGTGTATGACTGGTGCTATACAAATAAACTTTCCGTGGCATTAAAAAAATCCATACTGTATCTAATTAAACGATGTCACTATTTATCAAAAAACAAAACAGTCTTAAGTACGACGCAGTGCCGTTATCAGTTCATCAATAGCGGCTAATGCAGAGGTCTTAGCGGTGCAGACGCTCAGCTGCTGTTGGGCGCGTGTCCCACCGTCACACCCTCCTCACACTTTGATGCGACACATGACAGCTGTGGAAGCTGGCAGACGGCTCCTGACGCACAAAGGAGCCCACTGCTATTTCGGAATCTGTAAAATTCATTGTGGTGCACTTGGTAATAGCCCGACAGCTCGCACGGCCATCATCAATTGAAATAATCACTGGACCATTGTAACTTTTTAATGACTCTCAAACTATTGTTGGTCTAATTATGCAGTTGTTTCTCCCTCCCGCCTTCTGTTGGTATGCACTGAAAACATCTGTCGCGTTCGGGCTCATCCTTTGCCTCCTCATCGCTCATACCAAACTCGCTTTTCCGTCTTTTTCGCTACCTTCGGAAATCTGCGGTGCCATTCTTTGAGCCGGCATGACTGGCATCTCAAAAACCTCACCCTCCTTCCAAAGTCTCCTTGCCTGAGATTTAAGATTTTTTCTCCCCCAAAACCATATTGGATTGTACTTGCCAAGAATGGAATAGGGTTATGCGTTCGAGCTTTTTTAAATAGAGTTGTTGTTGTCAAGCTAGGTTTTTATTTTCTTCATGAATATTACATTTGGTTTGTTTGAAGGAAAAAATAGACTAGTGAACAAATCTGACACTACCTTCTGTATCTATAAAACATGCTTTCTTGTGCATACTTGTAAAAAAAAAGAGTCCTGTTTGGGCTGAGAGCTGATTGGCTGAGTGAGGTCAGTCTCTTTTTCACCGTACTGTCTGAAAAAGCTGATCTGAAGTTTCAACCGAGGCCAAAAATACATACAATAATACAATATTGTACAATAATACAATACAATAATAATGTGAAAAATGGGGATCGAACCAGTCTGTTTTGAGAACTAGGCACTATAGTGGGATGGATTGTATAATACATTATTCAATATTTTGACGGTTTCTTCAATTTGGTGAATCACTTTTTTGAGTCAATATATCTACTTGATGATTGGAACTGAAATCTAACTAATTGGGGAATCTCTATCACTTGGTTTTAGGCACTTTAACCATCAAAATGCATCTCAATCCTTTGGTAAAGGCCTATAATTATAAACTAGGGGTAAAAAAAACACATTTTACAAATTATTATTATTATTATTATTATTATTAGTCTGTGCTCCTACATCTTAGAAAGTCAAAAAGAGAAAAAATTACACTGGTTTCTTGAGGGAGTCAACATTAAAGGGAAGTTATTCTGTTGACTGTTGATTACTCCATAATAATCCAGGATATGCAAATGTTTTTTTTGTGTGTGTGCATTTATGTCCTTGTTCTGTACTATTTTTATTGTGGTATGAAAAGTTTGATTATATTGAGTGCTGGGGGTGGGATGCTCATGAGCTTTTTGCTTCAGCCCACTCCTTTTGTGCAGTAATTATTCTGTTCAAATAGATAAATAAAGAAACTAAAAGATAAAGGGAAATGTAATGAAGCTGTGAACACTATTAAAAAACAAAAAACACTATTGATCCATCGATGTTTCAGTAACAGCCTTGGAGAAGGAACACCTTATCTCGCAATATCTAACTAGCTCAAAGAGGGCTGCCTGTTTGCCAAGCTTGGTAAATGCGACGGAAAATGAATAGGTAAATACAATACATAAAAGGCCGCGTGACACACATTGGATACGGCCGGATAGCAAACAGACCAAGCCTTAAAAAAAAAAGTCTTCCACTCTCTGAACTGAGTCTGACCCCAGATGAAGGTACCAGCCTGTGTCCTCCTCTGCAAGTGGATCTACAGCGCTTCATATCAGTCTTTTTCTTTCTGCCTAACGGAGCACGATTTGCAGTAAAGAGAGAAAAGTGGAAGAAACGAAGGCGCCAAGATAAGCTGCAGCGGCAGTAATGGCCTGGCACCGGCGCTCAAGGACAAAACGTGATTAACCTGTTGATGTCCATGGACTCCACACTCAGACAGCTATTGACCGAGAAGAGGGAGACCGGGACCGGCGCGATACAGTATTGATACGGCGGCCAAAACGAATGTCTCCTCGTTACGTATTGAATATATGCTTTGCTTTTCAGCGTGGGTAATAAAGGCAAAATATAGCTGGATATCTAAGGCGATTATTTAGAATTACAGCAGGGAATATTCAAGAAAATAAGTTCAGATGAAGACAATATGCAGCGTTAATACAGCTAGAATATATCAGTGTTGCCTTGATATTAAAATGAATAAAGAATCTATTATACTAATAAGAAGCCACAGTGGTTACTAAAAATTGTAATTTCTTTAGACATTATTCTTTATATTTTTGCATAATTAACATAACATTATAGTGCTTTTAAATGTGAGTTTTTCAGTACAGTTTTTGACACTAGTTCTAGTATAAATAACAATTATATTTTTGATTCACAATCCTCATTGACATTGAAAATATATGTGATATAATGGTGTTAAGTGTTGCATTGCCTGCCCTACATTAGCTGTTATTCCTCAATTTTAACGGCAAGTATTTAAAATCAGGCTTAAAAGCAAGTCTCAGGAGTTTTATTTCACGTTGTGGTTGTAACTAGAAGCTATAGAGACACAAATACAGATTACAAATGTTGTTTTGTAGCAACGCCATACCACAATACTGACCTTTCCAAGACAAAAGTAGTCAAATTAAACTTGTAAAAGCGACGGCTCAGACGTGTGTGCACAACATCCTCGGTGGATAAATGCACATATCTGATCTGTTTTTGCAACACGTGTTTCTTGTTAGACAAAACATATTTTTTATCTTCCCAAGACAGTTTGGCAAGATTCTCCTGACCAATGTCTTTCGCTAAAAATGCTAAAAAACAAGATAAACAATTTTAAAAACAGATGCACTCACAGGACCCACCATCAACATATAACACAAGCCAGATCTGCATTTCATGTAAACAGAATACTCAAAAGTTTCTGAAATAAAGGAAATAGATTTGAATACATCTAAAAATCTGTACATTTATGGTATTTAATTTCTAGAAATAGTTAGAGTTTTACATGTCATTTCATAAAACTTGTAAATTAAAATGTGATAATATTAACTCTTTCACTGCCATTTTTTTTTGCATTAAGTTACCCATGTTATACTCTCAATTGTTAAAAAACTAAAAGGGGTAGAAACTTTCATACATTTCACATTTATATGAGGTTTGGAAAAACAAAAAAATCTCTGGCAGTATCAGGGATGCTTCTTTATATATGGCTGGCAGAGAATGAGTTCATAAATACACATTTTTAAATCATGGGCTGTGTTTTTATTCCAGTGCAGTATAGGGATATATTTTAAAATTCTTGCCCAGGAAATGTTTGCGCAACCATTAAAAATGATCACACAACCAACTTTTGAGTCCCGACCCACCAATTGAGAACCACTGAACTAGACCGCTAAACTATGTATTTTATTCATTTATTTCACAGGGACACTGCATTCATACAGCTTCAGCAAATCTGAGTTACAGCAAATGCTGATTCTCAACTTCTGAGCTTTTCCTTACAGTCCACACAAAATAGTCTGCATACAAACTTTACTCGCTCTTACCTTTCCGAGTGGTTTCCCGCTGTCCCAGTTCCTCTTCTCCAGACACGGGGGCACCTGGTACACATCCTGCCCCGCTGAAGCCACCCCAGCTGGGCCAGCCCCTTGCAGGCTGGGAGGCACCTGGTAGATGTCCTGAGAAGGTGCCTGGTATTTCCGCTGGGTCAGGGGAGGGGCTTTGCTTGGGGGCTGCGGAGAGGAACCAATGGGGCCGGAGGGGATCTGGTACACGCTGCCTTTGGGCTCGTGGGACGGGGGCATCATGTAGATAGAGTCGGGGTTGGTTGTGGCGGGGTGCATGGAGGTGTACTGCGGGGGCTTGTTTGGAAAGCCTGGAGAAGCCATGATGGAGGCTGAGAGTGTGGGTTTGGCGTAGGTGTTGTGGGGGGGCAGGAGAGGGCGCTGTGTCGGGGAGGTGACCATGGTGGGGTCCGGGGTGGAGGGGGATCCTTGTTGTTTGTCGTACATGCCCACCAGAATCTTCAGACGGTTGCCCGGGACGATACCCTGGCGCCCGTGGAGGGAGCACAGCCACCAGCCGTCCAGTCCCTGAGTGTCGCGCTCCAAAACCGTCATGATGTCGCCCTTACGGAACGACAGCTCGTCTGGAGACTCCGCCACATTGTCGTACAGCGCCTTCGCCAGCACATTCTGCAGAACACAGACAAGAGAAGGTTGTTCAAACTGTAATGATGCTTTGGTCTGAACGGCAATGGAAACAGCGTCACAGTAAAACCAGTGGAAAAGATTTATGTTAAATTCATAGTGTTAAAAGACACGTTTGGTTCTATGGAAATAAAAAGGTTAAAACATACTTTCATGCCAGTTTCAAGCAAAACTGTAAAAAGATTATTTGACAATTTATAGACAGGGAAACTCAAAGTTCTTTGCAACAACAAAAACATTAAAGTCATTGTCAATTGTCATAGTCCAGTTAAATAACGATTTTCTCAATCAGCAATATGCAACATCTAGAATATAGAAGTGTTTCTCAAACAGTGTGTCGTGGCAGGTTAGTGTGCCTTGAGATATTGTTTGGTGTGCCTTTGGAAATAACCCAATATCACCGTAATGGTCAAAGCAATATGAAAAGAAAATAATGTGAGAAGATTAGAATGACTTTTCTTTCTCTTCTTTGATTTTCTATACTTTGATGAGAAGAACTCTGTATCAGGTTCAGCTGGTGGTGTCTCATGGCTCAAAAAGTCATTCTAAAAAATGTTTACAAGCTACAAAACAGTCACATTATATCAATTGGCAAAAATGGAGCGGGAAAGATTAAAGACACACGCAGCCAATAGTAACACAATAATAGCTCATCTGGATCTTTTATCGTCACGTACAGTAACTGTGATGCTGGACTGAGCACCATGGGACTCGCTAAACCAATTACAGTAGAATCCCCCACATCTTCCCGTGTCGTACTCTCAGTTTCTGTCTGAGTTTTCGCTCAGGTACAAGCTGTACTGGCCCGGAGCCAGCTCTCCTGACGTACCCCTGCCAAATCACTGCAGCGCTTAATGAGGACGTGTTACTGGTTTAAGAGTCAGTAGAGGACAGCACGGCGGACTCTGCTCATATCCAGCAATTACACACACCAAACTATGCCCCAGCAATTTCATAAAAAGAGGAAATTAAAATGTTTGTGATTTTGGGTTGAAAATAGATTGGATGTTTTACACAGTTGAAGGAAAGCAATTTTGAGGTTGTTCAGAAGATCACTGAATTTACAGCTGTCTTAACATTTCTTTTTGACCAAATCATGATCTGAAAGTCTTTCATTTTGGCCGCTCAAATCATGTCTTTGTCTCGTGTTCCCTTTAATTATTTTAAGACGGGTAAAAATAGTACAATAGCAAGGGACACGTTTGTAGCTGCTCCATTAAGGAACTGAATCTGAATTCGGCCACATTTATGAATCACAAAGTCAACCTAAGCCTGACTGTATAATTCAGCGTTGACACAATGGACCCAGATAGTAGTCATTAGGTTTTCTCAGAGCCGCAGCAGCACTCACTCGCTTTCCTAAGTCTGCTCAAGATCTACTCATTACAGCGTTTATACGGCTTTTGAAAAACTGCTTTTTACCAAATGGAAGGGAACTAATCTGTGAATGGACCACCAAATACCGTGACAAAATACATGTCCCCTCCCTCTCCCACGTGGAGAAATTACACCAACTTGTTTCATGGGAAAATGTGGGTCAATATTTGAAGAACGCAGAGTAAATGGTAAAAAGGTAATTAAAATTATTATTCAGCATAACAACACAAGAGCTTCATACCATTCCCAATGGCATGCTTAAATGGAAAAAAAGAAAAAGACAAAAAAAGGCTAACCCTAACCCAATTTAATAATAATAAGTGTCAGTGAGTAAGTAACATTTGTGGCCTTTTTGTGACCATAACTGTTTCCATGCTTCCATGACGCAAATCATTAATAAAACTATTTAGACAATAAACGTACGTCTAAAAGTAGATGGAGTCAAAAATAATAATAGTCCATGAACTCTGTTAATAGACATAAACACCAGCTGACAGAGCGGTGTCCAAATTCTTTCTTGCGTCCAGGGGGGAGACTCTAAGAGAATAAAAATACATACTATGGTTATGGTTTAAATAACTTGAAGTAGTGGCTTAATATTCCAGCAGTCCTAAATAATGTACTGTGATTATTTATGATTTTAATGCAATCTTGTTTTGTTCATTACTTTTGAGTTTCCCTGTGTATGAATTGTGTTACATAAATAAACTTGCCTTACCTTGCCAAAATACCAACATAGTTATCTCAGAGGACTTGACATGCTAGTTGTGGCTTGAAAGTTCTTTAACCTAGCTTGAATGTGTTTTGATTTTATGTTCCATGGCATTGGATGTGGGTTACGTCCCGTGTGGTCTACAGTCCTGTCCACTTGAATGCTTGCAGCTTAGAGCCCTTCTGATGTCCAGCTTTCACAGCAGCAGGAAGTGTGTTGGGGCTGAATCACACTGCCTTGTCACTGGACGGTGAGTCAGTGACCTGTGCTGACATTCTGTAGTTCCCATCACTTTGCAACAGTCAACGAGTCTCCAAAAACCATTTTATACGGAGTTACCCTGTCCCACGTTTGACACCCATACAGAATTTAGTGTGACTTTGGATTCTAAAGTGCATTCAAAGTTGCAATGTACTACTAATGTACTGATGTATCTAATTCCCATCAAAGGCACTTCATTATTGGAGGGCATTTTGCAGGAATGACAGGAATTTGGGGCAGAGAGTGACCTTATGCCCATAGGTAAAATACAAGCTTCTTAAATGCATTTCCTGCTAAAACAAATAAATGCAAATAATTGTCTATAACAAGTTCCACATGCATTATGCTGAACTCCTAATCAGTCGGAAGTTGTAAAGTCCACCTCAGTTAAAACCATAAAGTTGCTTGGACTAGAAAGATATCTGAGACCTTTGAAGCTCCGACAGGCAAAGTCAGCGGAGCCATGAAATCCAACAAGGGCCGTTTACACGAAGACGCTGCGGAGACGCTAAAAAAGTAATTAGCAAAAACAATCAGGCTCCTTAATGGAAGTGCAGCGTATCTGTTCTGTTCCACTCTTGAGGCAGTTTCTCAAAGCTTGCATTTTCACCTCCTGAAACACCGTCTCCATGTAAAAGAAAGAGGCAATCTTGTCTGAATTTCTAAAGAAGTTTAATTCCAGACAGTGATATAAAATCAGTTTGTTTTACAGTTTCACCAAACTTAGAATTCTGGAATTCTTCCAAGCAAACTGGAAAATACCGGTAATTACAAAACAACCACATGTATTTATTTGTTATTCTTGCCCCTCTTAAGCCCGATTGCGCCCCATTCGGGGTCCGCCCCCCCTTGCTGCAGCTTGTCCGGACCATAGCTGACATATACATCAACTGACAATCACATGTTTCACATCCTCGTGTTCGGACAACTCTCAGCTACAACATTATCCACTTCAATTTCAGTTCAACAGACCCAGGTTCAAACAACAAACCACAATCTGACAAATCGTCATAAAGCACATGTCGAAACAAATGTTTGCTTTGGCGTCACAAGCGCCCTCAAAACAATAAGTAGCCCTGCTGTCAGCATACCATTAGAAAGCCCTCTCCGAGCTGAACACAACGCTATAAGCCTGGTAACGCTAGCTCTAATACTCGCTGACCAAGCCGCAGACGAATGCCAGAAAACAAAGCCGTAAAACATCAGCGTTGAAGTAAAAGTCGACTTACTTTTGCTGTTTTTTCATCACAAGTCATTTCCATAGGAATAAAAGTCCGTTTTTTTCTTGTATTCAACCTCATAGCGAGGCTTTCTAGCGACCTGGCAGATACCAGTTACTTCCTCCTTCTGTAAGAGGCCCTTTGTGATAGGCTGCACCCGTGCGTCATGTCACGTACCTCTGTGTATCTCTTCCTGTGATTGGCCACAGGTGCTGTCCATCAATACGTTTTCAATGGTTTTTGATAGCCGAAGGTGTGTTCTTTCCAAAATGGTATGACATGCCCTGATTGGCCAAAGTACCGCGGAGGCGTGTACATGCGTATAGTTGGGGCAGAAGGAGGCTGTGCGCAATGCCTTTACGCACGGCAGGTACTCGGAATTTTGACGAAATTAAAAATGGCAAAACAGCGTTATACACGCGAGGAGGTTGTAGAGCTTCTTGCTAGGGAACCGGGTGCCAAAGTTTATCTCGATGACTCTACAGACATGTTTGTGCCATTTGGCACAATTTTGGCACAGTTGGATTCCGCCTGGACTTTTTTTCCAATTCCATGTACAACTCTGCAGTGGTTTGTTTATTTGGCACAATTTTTGCTGGACTGGTCCAAAATATCGGGAACTGTCAATTTTAGTTCTTATTTGCTACACCACAGACAGGGAAAAAAGCTTTTTTGAGGGAAAATATGTGTTTTTTTTTTTAGGCGGAAGTTAGAATTGTCTGTTTCAACCTAATTTTATTGGCAACCAATACAATTTATCATCTTTTTTCACTTCCACAGCAATCCCCAAGGTCCACCAGGTAATTTGGTACCAAGTTTGGCCACATATCTGGCTAAATACTATATGAAACCTTAGTAAATGTAGATTATAGCTTTTTCGGGAAAAAAGGCCTCTGGGCTTAAGAGGTTAATTATTTTAGAAAAATAAATATTTTTAAAAATGTTCAAAGCACAGTTGAACAACCCACCTGTCTGTAGTGAGCAGTTCTGAAAGGCCTTTAATTAGAGGAGGTAGCCCACATGGACAGAGGTCTGTGATAACAAAGCTGCAGTGTTCAGATGTCTCCTCTACTCATAATGGTCTTTGAGAGGTCCACACTAAGGCCTGACACACCAATTTCTGTTGCCTTCAGCTCTGCTGAATTAGCCCCTATGACAGTACTTTTTACAGCCAATTTAAGCAACTCTACAGCTGGAACCTCGATAGCGCCTTATTGTATTGTAATTCAGACCAAGTGCCCCTACTTCAAAGGCTTGTTAAAGATACTGTGGCTCTGTCAAAGCCATATGTGCCCATCTGAAAGACTGAGCCCATAATTGTATGTGAAAATACAAACTGTCAATCTTCATAATGTATGTTAGTCCTTATGTCAATGATCAACACCATTAAATCTGCATATTAACTGCTGCCATGA